GACTCAACTCTTACCAATCAGTGCTCACACTCAGCACTCACGCTGATTAGGTACCATATAGTAACCGTTGAGGCGTGCAGCCCGATCCATATATATATAATAACCGCTGCGGCGTGCAGCCCGATCCATATATCGTCGACGGCGCTCACTGGGGTGTGCAGACTCCGGGAGGGGCCCCTTACGGCCCAAGTGCAATATTGCTGCGGCGTGCAGCCCGATCCAGGGAACTCAGCCCAAACAGTTTTTCACATTTTTAAGAATATAATGATAGAGCCAGGTTTGAGAAATAAACAGATAAAAACATGACTGAGGATATACTTTCAACAAATAGAGTGAGGTAAATCAGTCAAATGCCCCTAAGGGTCTCAGCAAGTCGGCACAAAGCCCCAAACATGGCATACAGCCCAAGGTATAATCACATCAAACAATTAACTATCAATTACTCATTAAAATAGTCATTCGGGATGGACTAGGTCACAATCCCCAGTGGTGCTCTACCCCACGCTCGTCATTTAGCGTGCAAGTCACCTCAAAGTAACACATCGATGTGAAATTCGGGGTTTCAAACCCTCAGGGCAGTATTTACAATCATTACTTACCTCGAACCGGCAAAATTTCTAGCTCGCGACGCCTTTGCCCCTCAAATCGGCCTCCACACGCGCCGAATCTATCCAAAACCAGAGCGAATACGTCACAATATACTAAGGGAACAAAGCCCAAGCGAAAACAATCAAAAATATATCAAAATCTCGAAATTAGCAAAACCCGAGCCCCGGGCCTACTTCTCGAAACTCCAAAATTTTTACATCAACGGCTTCCTTATCTTGCCACGAGTCTATGCATATCAAGAACTCTCAAATCCGAGCTCAAATGACCCTTCAAATCCCAATTTAAAATCTCAAAATCCTAAGCCCTAGTTCTTCCAATTTTTGCTAAATTTCCATGAATTTCTAGGTTAATTTCACATAATAATCATGTTTTTAGCTCATAGAACTTACCTCCAACCAATCCTCTTCGAATCCCTCTTCAATTGCTCCCAAGAAGCTCTAAAAATACTCAACAATAGAGGAAAATGACTTAGGCTCGCGGATGAAATATGTTTAAAAACCCTTCTGCCCAGCTGACGATGCCTTCTATGCGATCGCGGGAAAACCTTCGCGATCGCAAAGCACAAAATCTCAGCTCCACAATTTACCCTATGCAATCGCATCATCATTCCTGCGATCGCAATGCACAAACTACCTGACACTACGCGATTGCATACATACCCATGCGATCGCAATGCACAAACTTCCATCCAAGCCCCAGGTCCATTACATTGTGCGATCGCAAGCCCTTCTTCGCGATCGCAATGAAAAACCAAACAGATCCCCAAAATCCTCCTAAGCGATCGCATGGCTCCATGTGCGGTCGCAGAGAACAAAATTACTCTGCAACTCTGCTGCATTTTCTGCAAATTTTCCCAAGTCCAAAACTCCCCGTTAGCCATCCGGAATCACCCTGAGGCCCCCGGGACCGCAACCAAAAGCACCAGCACATCCTAAAACATCATTCAAACTTGTTCCAATCATTAAAACACCTCAAACAACACTAAAATCATCGAATTATATCGAATTCAAGCCTAAGTTCTTCTAAAACTTCCGAAACACGCATTTGATCAAAAACCCAACCAAATCACCTCCGAATGACCTGAAATTTTACACACACATCCCAAATCACATAACGAAGCTACAGCAACTCTCAGAATTCCATTCCGACCCTCGGATCAAAATTTCACCTATCAACCGGAATTCGCCAAAATACTAACTTCGCCAATTCAAGCCTAATTCTACACCGGACCTCCAAAACCAATTCCGATCACGCTCCTAAGTCACAAATCACCTCATGAAGCTAACCAAATCTTAAAAACTCCGATCCGAGCTCATATACAAATAAGTCAAATCTTGTTCAAACCTTTCAAAATCAAAGCTTTCAACTGAGACTGTTCTTTCAAATTCATACCGATTTCCATGAAAACCCAAAACCAACAATCTACATCAGTCATAACACATTACACGGGGCAAGTCATGCCCCAGAACTGGCGATCAAAGCGCAAAAGCTCAAAACGACCGGTCGGGTCGTTACAAATATAGATAATGAAATGCAACTAATATAATTTTTAAATTAAATTACAAGTTTGATCTTACAGTAGTTACTTTATGGGGAGATTTTTCTGAAAATGACTGAAATTCTTGAAAAGATGAAATACGATAAACCAATCCTTGGCTTTTGTGATGCTAGAGTCTCATTTTACAAAAGTATGTACCAACAACTGTTTGTATTTATATTTATCATACTTTATACACTGAAACTATTCTAAATATATACTTCTTTAACTAGATAATTTTGGAATATTAACTATTCCTATCAGTAGTGTGCTAATCAATCCAACAATTCAAAAGGCAACAGAAGTCCGAAATTGGTGCCGTATATATTTTTCGAATATAACAAAGTCTTACTTATGATTAGTAGTCATGTATATCGTTGGTGAATCTTTATTTTCTTGTTTGTTTTGAGTTTCACAAAGTTTCCATCTTCTATATTCTGCTTTTGTTTTCTCCATTCTGTTTGAAAAAAATTTAATGTCTCTGTATTGTTTTATTCTATCCATATTCTTATCCAAACTTTAGCTACAATGCAATGCACACTACTTGTTTGATAAGACACACGGACTATTTACCTAGAGTTGACGAAGTCTGAGTATGTTTCTGAAAATAAAAATTTGCACAGTCAAATTCCACTTTCAACATCAGTTTAGAGCAGATAAATTCAATTAAATAAATGATGCCGATTTGAACTAACCAAAGAACAAAACTGAGCCTAAGCAGAATCAAGCGTCAGTGCTAGCCTTGGCTGCTCATTAGATTCTTTAAAATCCAAATTTGGGTCTTAGCCTTTTTCTTTTTGACTGCCATTTCTGTTGATGCTAAACAAATTGGAATCTTTACTTTGATTCCAGCCAAAACGATTCAAGACATGTCGTTTATGTTTGTGTGTGTTTTTTCCTTTTTTAACCTTATTTGACAGAAGAACATGCTAAACAAGGAATATCCCATCTTTCATATGAATCACAAGTATATTTTTATCCCTTTTCCAGTTTGTTGCGGGAGTGAATTTTGCTTTCTTGGTTCGTTTTATATGCTGCGACAATGTCATGCCCATGAGACCACCACTCAGGTACAATCGTGAAGATGTCTACATCTTCATTGATGTATACCTATACTATGTATTGCTGTAATGCCTTTTGTGATTGAATAATTGTCTTTATATGTAAATATAGATTAGTTAATCTGTAAAAATGGATACAGTTAAAAGTATTAGAAAAATTATGGATGAAAATGATTTAATGAAGAATGCAAATTCAATTTACAAGATTGTGCCACCACAATTTGTTTTTATATAATGAACACAAATAAATATTTAAAGTAACACAATATCGATAATAATATGGAAACTGATAATGGACTAATTCTATGGACATAACCTGCAAATATTATTCTGAGGTTGTATGTAATTTTCCTTTTAACATATCTACAATCGTGATGTCTACATCTTTATTAACTGTTCTGTTTAATACCAAGTAAAGCAATGAAAAACGCCAAAGAAGTCAAGTTAGTTGATATTATGGACGGGTTACTTGCAGATGCGCATGTAACTTCCTACAAACATCTTCATAATCTACATGTTTTATAATTTTTAAAGAATATAATCTAATATATTGGTTACTCTATATGTGCAGGATTCATATTACAAGTTCAACGCAAAGATCATAGACATTATATAAGTAAATATATACTTTTCTATTTACAAATACCAATAAAATTTCATATATTTTTATTTACTTGAATAGGTTAATTTTGAAAGAAAATGTGCCCATCATATTACTTAGAAATTTGAACCCTTTAAATGGCTTATGCAATGGTACAAGGATGATCTGTGGAGGATTTAACTATAATGTCATACATGCCGAAATTACAACGGGACAATCTTCTTATATGTATGTGTTTATTCCAAGAATTCAACTTACTCCCCCAGAAAATGAAGGATATCCTATCAAATTCGTGCGGAAATAATTTTCTGTACGCTTTGTTTTACAATGATAATAAATAAAGCACAGGGTCAACAATACCTAATGTTGGATTTTATCTACCACAACACGTTTTCTCACATGGACAACTTTACGTTGCACTTTCAAGAGGGATATCAATGTCGACAACAAGAATCTTGGTTAACAACTAAAACGGATGGAAGGAACATACACAAGGAATATCGTCTATAAGAAAGTATTAGGTGAGATATACTTAATTATAAATTTTAACCTCAAATTCATAAATAAATAGTATGCAAAATAACATGTATCTAATTACACTTTTATTTTTTTTCATCTTTGTAGGTTCAGACGAATAATTGAATTGACGACGATCCTCAATGATCACTCACAAAATTTTTACTATATTCTTTCATGTATACTTGCATACTAATAACTTTATTTTAATATTAATTTACAATAATGTGTACTAATGAGCTCGATACACACGTGCCGAGAAGCTAGTAATATAAAAATACATGTAACTGGTACTGTGTGCAGCAGCCGTCGAGATGTGCATATACTGACTTGAGTTACTACCCTTATAAAATATAATTTGCTTCCCTTAGGCCGCTCTGAACCTGTCAAACATGGTCTCTTTAACTAATAGTAGTACTACTAATAAGAATATAAAAGTAATAAAAGAAGAAATCAGAACTTGGTCATGCAGGTACATATTCTTGCTTGCTTCGCTTAGCTTGGACTAATTAATACTAGTAGCATATTAGAAGCACTCAAAGCCGGCGAGCCACTTACATGTAACTAAATTATTACTCTATATTTGAACCATAACACAGGACAAACAAGAAACAGTCTGTATTAAGACAAATTCAAATGTCCTTTTTTCTTAATTGTAAGCCATAGTAATCTTAAATTTGTCATTCAAGGACTCTGTATTTCTCTGTTTCCTCAACCATTAACTTTGAGCTCAACAGAAATCATAATACAATGGCCACTTTTTTCATTCTCCCACTAATCCTCATTTCTCTTCCTGTTTCCATTTCTCAAACTTCCTCTAATAACTGCAATGGCATATTCATAACTTACGACTACAACTCTGGTTTTCCTCTTCCACCAAAAGTCTTGGCATCAGACTCCAACAATCAAGCCTACAATTTCAGGTCCACACTCACTATTCTCAATAATAGTCCTGATGAGCTCAAGTCTTGGAGGGTTTTTGTTGGTTTCCAGCACAGGGAATTCTTGGTCTCTGCTCTACAAGCTGTGCTTGCTGATGGAACCACTTTGCCAGGTGATGTTAGAAATGGAACTGTCTTTGCTGGTTTCCCTACCACTGACCTTAAGTCGGCAATTCAGACTGCTGGAGACGTCAATCAGATGGAGGCTCGGATCGAGTTGGTTGGTACACTGTATGGTGTTGCATCTCCTGCTGTCCCCTTGCCTTCTTCTATCACTCTCGCTAACGATGGCTTCTCTTGTCCTCCTTCTACATCTCAAGGTAGGCAAAGTTTACCTTATGGTTTTCTTAACAACTACTATAAAGTTTGGATTTTTCAAACTGATCTCCCTTATATGTGAATCCAAGATTTTAAGTCGGTAGAAGTAGGTGTAGTGATACTGTGGACAGAGGTGGATGGAGCTTCTGTTCAATGAGTACATTTGTACTCCATATTTTCACAGAACGTAAATATATATGTGAAAAATCACTAAATATATATGTGTAAAATCACTACGTTTCAACAAATTAAATTTTGAATCCATAATTTCAAAAGTACAATGAGTTAAATGCTAAAAACCTTAAAGGTTAAACATATCAAGTTTAAATCTTCCAACAGCATTTGAAAGGGGATGCAAAGTGTCTCTACAGTCCCTATACCAGCTATACCTAGTGATGATGAGTGCTAACATAGTATAACATATTTTCTCTAAAATGTTTCAGCTATATAGATATAGAAGGATACTGGTATATCTGCACCACTCGGAGGCAGATGTATCTTTTGAACATTGTATTTTCAACATGAAGCATAGACATATAGGGGAAAATTCACTAAAATTTCAACAAATATTAAATCTGAACCAATAATTTTCAAGTATGATGAGTTCACTGCCAAAAACGTTAAAGATTGAACCATCAAGTATAAATGATCGTGGTAGCTTACAGTAAACTTGTTGATGCCTCGTATTTTATGGGACCTTGTTGCAGGAAATCGAACCCAAGTTTGCTGTGTAAAAGACTCAAGCGCTAGATCCAACGTCACGGCCTATGAGGAAATCCAGCCTCGGCAAGGGGGTGATCTTACCATAATGTATGATGTCACTAGCTCATTCGAATCCAATTACTGGGCACAAGTCACAATCTCAAATAACGACCACACTAGTCGTCTTGATAACTGGCAATTAAGCTGGGAATGGATGAGGGACGAATTCATCTATAGCATGAAAGGTGCTTATCCTATGGTTGTTGATACAGGGGACTGCATCTTTGGTAAGCAGGGTGAGCATTACAAGGGCATCGATTTTTCAAAGGCCTTAAACTGTGAAAAGAGACCAACAATTATTGACCTTCCTTTGGAAAAGACAAATGATACAACCATAGGAATGGTTCCCTTCTGTTGTAGAAATGGAACAATTTTGCCACCTATCATGGATGCAAGCAAATCCAAGTCAGCTTTTGTAATGCAAGTCTACAAGATGTCACCTGATCTCAACATAAGTGCAATCCACCCTCCCCAGAACTGGAAAATAAATGGAACTTACAGTCCTAATTTCGTATGTGGGCCGCCAGTACGAGTATCTCCCAGCCTCTTTCCTAACCCTGCAGGGCTATCTTCAGATACAGCTGTTGTTGCTAGTTGGCAAGTAATCTGCAACATTAGCAGTTCCACCTTTAAGAAGTCACCAAAGTGTTGCGTATCATTCTCTGCATTCTTCAACGATTCAGTTGTTCCTTGTAAAACTTGTGCCTGTGGCTGCAATACGCGCCCCGGCAACGTGTGCAATGCCACTGAGCCAGCACTGCTGTTACCACCACAGGCTCTTCTTGTGCCCTTTGACAACCGAACTGAAATGGCAATGGAATTTGCCAGCGATAGAAGACGAGACTTGCCAAATCCTTTGCCTTGTGGAGACAACTGTGGAGTAAGCATTAACTGGCATTTGCTTAATGATTTCACAGACGGCTGGACTGCAAGAGTAACACTGTTTAATTGGGATGACACCAACATTGTTGACTGGTTTGCTGCTGTACAATTGGATAAAGCCATCCAAGGTTTTGAAAAAGCGTACTCTTTCAACGGAACCATCATGCCTGATACTAACAACACAATATTTATACAGGGGTTTTCAGGCTTAAATTACCTTCTTGCGGAAAGAAGAGGAGACAATCCAAGGAATGATCCTCCAGTTCCTGGTACCGTGCAATCTGTCATATCTTTCACAAAGAAGAGCACACCTGGAATTGATGTAGGCGCAGGTGATGGTTTTCCAAGTACAGTTTACTTCAATGGAGAGGAGTGTTCCCTTCCGGTAATACTTCCTTCGGGTAGTAATCGCAGAACACCTCTAGCCTCTAGTGCTTTTAGTCTTCTGCTAACCATGCTACTCCTCATGGTTCTGCAAAGATCACTGTGCCTAGACATATACCTATGTTCTTTTCCAACTTTATCTCTTATACTCATAGCCTGTCAATTCTTTCATTTTGTTATCCCAATATATCCCACCAATTATATTACAAAGTTCAGCTATCTGACCTAGAGTATTAAGAAGGAATTATATAATATACCTTGTGAAGTGTAGCATTTATCATTCCTGAAGCAGTAAATGTCAATCATACTCCCAATGGAACAAGATTCAACTCTGAATTGTCTTTAAATATTGAAGCAAGGTGCCTTTTCCTTGTGTTGCCAGTGTTAATCACATGATATGTAACTTTCTCACTGCCCTTATCTAAAAAACATATACTCTTTGCAGAATGCCATGGCACATTTTACTATTTGTAAAGTTGTAACCAGCAATTTTGAAGGTACAAGTTGAAAGCCAGCGCATAAATTCAATTAGATCTTATTGCTCCAACATGTCGGTAGTGCGCTAATGGGGCTTCCTCAAGATAACTCCCCAATCTGAAGAACTAAAACCCTCTGGTTATAACCAAGAAAAGCAACAAAAAAAAAAAAAAAAAAGAAAGTGGAATAGAAGTTTATAAGAGAATCTGCTTGAGGACAAGCATAACAAAGCACATGATAACAAGAACAGACGCACATTTCACCATTCCCCCACTCCTCTGAGTCCTCTCTGCCTGCAGTTCCAAAAAAGGGCACACTGTTAGCCCAAATAATAAAGCAGAATGGTCCAAGTCCTTACCACAATATACTTAACACAGACCAAGAATCAGAAAATACAAAAACAAAGGGAACACATAAAGTTCCCAGGGTGCTAGATCACTACATGAAATGACATGAAACTGCCTATGTTCCAACTCTGCTTGTAATAGTGTAAAAATGTATATGCAAGTATGTCTACTAAGCTATAGGGTGTGTGCGCTCATGAGAGACGGACAGAATATGAGAAAAAGCAAGAGAGTGTGAGAGAGACCGTAGTTGTTTGAAGGCTTCCTCCAATTGAACGTTGTGGTCTATTCGATCAACTATTGTCCCCTGCAACAGATTTCAACTTGATGGAGTGACAATTTGCTGCAAATACCTCTGGCGAACAGATAAGGAGTATACCCAAACCTGGTCAATCACTAGGACTGACAGATCATGATTTGGGCAAGCTCATTAACTGATTTGAGGACCTACAAAGACTTCATGTTAGTAAAATGATAAATTAAAATAAGCACTTGTTATTCTATATGTGAAAAACATATAAAAGTGCAGAAAGGCCCTTCACTGACCGGTCTAATCTCCCTTTCTCTCTCTGCCGTGAACTGCTCATTCCTCTGACCAGTGGTCATCTGCAGTTCAGTGAACCCCTGAAAGATAAAACGACCACGTGAAATATAGTGTTTGTAATAGCATCCAACATGGTAGTGTGCTTAAAACCTCTTTAAATGCAATTCCACTCAAAACCCACGATGAGTCAATAGGTTAAGGTGTCAGTTTGTGCAGTGTATCATACTCTGTGTTCCTGGTGAAACTTGTAAGGTCTCAAAACTCCATAAACTAATATGCTTCTAGTAATCTTGTAAAAACCCAGAACTTCAAAAATGAAACAAACAGAATCAAGAGACCAGCAAAAGAATAGGGTATCAGTATTAATCAAATTCAAGCAAAAAACCACCAGAAATCACAAAGGCAGAAAGTCTACCATGTCATTGATAGATCATCAAGAAAGCTAGACTTGTTTTCATTCATCTCCAAATCAAGTCCATCCTGTCCCTGCACCGCTGAAATAGAATAGAATATATAAGCACAGGCCAAAAGATCTGCCTGTTATCTAAAGATTGTAAGCAAAATAAAATAATGAAGGCGTCATAAGTAAACAGGGTATTATAGCATCCATTCAAGGATCTATTTAGGCATTAACTGCAGAATCCATCTACACTATTATAGATTCGACCTCTTTCTCAGTACGCAATATTCTCTTATTGGTTACCACTAGTATTAGCTCCATTTACTTGAATAGTAAAACAGGCTCCTAAGAGTATTTAACAAACCTCCATTTGCTGCCGTAACTGTTTTAAGGTACAGCGATTGCATCCTCCGAAGCTCAACAGAGAGGTTTTGAAGGCCTGTAGCCAGAGAATGCTGGAAAAAGAAATATCAGTATATGAATATTCAAATACACCAGCTATAAGGCAGCTAAAACAACTTCATGACAGCAAAGTTCAATGAAAGAAAATTCATCAGCAAAGTATCTGATGCTCCCATCCCTCGGTGGATAGAAAATGTTTGTAAATTACCAATGTGTGCTCAAAACCATACCTACTAAGAAAGAAGTAACTTTATTTTTTGAGAAGAAAAATAGCCAGTAAAACTAACACGTCGAGTCAAATAAATTGGAAGTTGAGTCAAGAAAATGAACTTCTCACATAAGAAAATCATCAGACTGCTACCTGTACATTTTTCTAACATTTGAGTCCTCAGAAGATCCACTAGCTGAAAGCTTCTGTAATCTCGTCTCTGACTTTCTTAATATATCTGTTATCTCCACGGTCAGAACCTCTATCACACGTTGATCTTCTCTTCCATCACCAAAAGATGGAGTCAGAGCTTTAGCATGGCACTTCTTTAATTCTGCCAATTTGACTTGAGCCTGATGTATGCTAGCTAAAACTTCTTCAGAAACATCAACCCATGCTGGAGGTAAGCCCACTGTAAATGCATCCCTAAGGAAGAAAGAAAGATATTTCTCATCAAGAGATTTTTCCCTCCTTACAAACCTGAATTAATATAAACAAAAAATTGAAGAAAAAAGAGCACATAGACCACATTTAATTTTACATCCTTCTTATCATGATCAGGGGAGTAATCATTTATATTTTAAAAAGATAACAAAAATAGTCCTAGGTGAATAAGTCCAATTGCAATTGCTGGCATTTTGTAAGCAAAATAAATACTACTCCACTCCTTAAGTCTCCCGATATTGTGAGAGAAAAGCTGAGACTTGTCGTCCTTTTTCTGCGCAAAACCATCTCTATTCATCCAGAAAAGCAACAAAGGGGTAAAGGAATCAACCTTTTCCTAATTTCGTATACTTCATGTTTTCCTATCGATCAGCTTTTTACATGGATTTCCTCATAGAAAAAGAAGATAAAAGAATTCAAAATATTTAAAAGATATGCCTTTACATTTTCACCCCATTCTAGTGAAACAATATCTTTTATCTCATGCCCATATTGTTTAATGTATTTTAAATTGTCCAGATTGAAGCTGGGAAAAAACAGTTGGAAGAAGAAATGTTTGTTGAATGATGAGTAGCCACACATTATTGCATATGGAAGCAACTTCACTATTGTTGGGAGATCATTGATGCGGGGAACTTCAGGTTTCTTTGTATCTGTAATCTAGCTCAATAGCATAATAGACAGGGAGTAATAACAATTTGAAAGATAACCAAGCGGGGACTTTCTATCCCAAAAATAGAATGAAAAACCAAAAATAACTAATAAATCATAGTTACAGCTTGCTGATATAAAAAAACGAAAGATTCAATCCAGTCTCAAGCGTCCCTGGATTGAATTCTTAGTTAGAGAGAGGGGCTAAGCCTACGTAACACTATGGGATTAGCTTTTTTTGTCCGCTTTCAGCTAAGCTATATAGATGGGCTACCCTGAGACCGGAATACACACAATTCAAAATGAACTGAACAAACATAGTGAACCCCTCGGGAAGAAGCCAACAACTGTTTATTTTATTTCCACTAAGAACTATTAGGATGAGAAACTTGTTATGTCGTGGAAGAGGTAAAACCCGAAAATAAAGAAAATAAAAACACCAAATTTTAACGTGGAAAACCTTTCAAATCGAAGGTAAAAACCACGGGATCACAAAGATCCAAAAAGCTCCACTATAACAATAAGAGGGTTACAAAAGTACTCCAAATTGGCTACACAACAAGAGTCAAACACGGAACAACAAGAGCAACAAGAGCAACAACTAATCAATTAAGAAAGAGGAGAATCCACAAAAACGAAGCTGTTGTTCGAGGCTCGAAATCAGATGCTACGGGCCTCCAAATCCGATCTTCACCGTTCAAATCAAAGACCAAGAAGTTACGAACGCTCAGACAAAATTTCAGGCCGATCCAACGGTTAACGAATCGGTAAACGTGATTTGATATTGGCTGGTCGGAATAAAAATTTACAGCAAAACAAATATTTTTCTTCTCTGTTCTCTCTTGATGAAAGCTCTCTCAAAAACAACTCTTATGTGCTTAAGTCTTTCAAAGACTTGTATCAATGAGCATAGAACAATTCTCCAAGGTTGTCCTATTTATAGATCATGAGTGGTGCTTTCTCTTAAAGCAAAAACCCACTCAAAATAGGAACAAACACCAAACCCAATTCCGAATAGGAATGGAAACCAAAAGAGAATAGGATTAGACCATTGGGCCTTTGGCTGGACAACATTGTGCCCAACAAAACTACATAAAATTAAAATATGCGTGTTCTGTATGGCAGTAAATGTTTATCTATTTATCCAAATCACTTTCCAGTGTTTTCTCCAAAGAGAATACTTTATAGTAGCAAATGTGTAAAAATGACTTCTATCAATTATGACCAAGTGCAAATCATTTTGTTTTCAAATATATCAACTCTTGATCCGTATCACTTGCTTCAACCAATACATATACAACAACAACAAGCTAGTAGAATTCCACTAGTGGGGTATGGATAGAGTAGACTGTAAGGAGACCCCTAACCCGAATGGATAGAGAAGTTGTTTTTGGGAAACCCTCGGCTCAGAAACTCAACCAATACATATACATTCTAGTAAATACTTAATATTAAATACAGGAAATATTCAGAAAAATAAAGTGATCCTAGTTCTCACCAAAAAACTGACCATATTACTGGAAATAGAAAGCAACAGAAAGTACCTGGAAGTAGAAGGGCCCAGATCCTCTTGGGTGCTAAGCGGAACGTAAGAACGATAAGTAGAATTGAGAAAAAAAAAAGTAGTTGCCATGTGATGAGTCCGGAACCAAAATGTTGTTATGTTGGACTCAAAAGACACAAATAAGTGTAAAAAAAAAAAAAGTGACCATAATATATATAACGCCAGAAAACCTGGCGCTATATAATAACGGTAACTGCACCGTCAATATATAGCGCCAGGTTTTCTGGCGTTATATACTGACACAGTGATATAGCGCCAGAAAACCTGGCGTTATACCCCTTAATAAAAAAAACCCTCCATCTTCTTCACCCGTCGCCTTCCTTCTTCAAATATTTTACTCCCACCCTTGGTCCCCCCACTTTAAACTGTCCGCCAATATTAAAAAAAAAAAAAAAAAATTTTGGATTCCCCCGGCACATAAAAACTTGAAAGATCGTTAGGTCCCACACTCGAGTAGAGCTTCTTTGTTATTGTTGGTTAACGCTTTCGGAGTCAAAATTTCGATCTATTTGATTTCCGAAAATTCTAAATCGAGGTATTTCGATTTATTTTAAGTTGAAACTTTTATAATAGTGTTTTATATAAAAATATAAATTTGTCTTTAATATTC